ACCTTCCTCGCATTCAACCAATCACGTGCAAGGTCAATCTGGTGACAAATTTAAAATACTCCTCCTGGTTTAAAAACAGAGTATAGTTCTCGGTCGAGTGTTTGTTCTAGTTATACACTAGCACTATCACTAACACAAGACCCAGAACTAGAAACATTCGGGTTTAGCTGTGCGTCTCTTAAGACGGCTGCAAACTTAGGGTTATCATAAAGACGTTACCTTTTTCCAAGCAACTCTTTTTCTTTACAAAACTACCCAATGCTTGTACTATTAAGCTATGTTGAATTTTATGTGGGACAGTGCAAGTGCATAATACTTTCGTAACTATGGTTACTGCATTCATATATTGCGAGTAATATGAAAGTCCCGGTATAAGTATTTACCACGGTTGATGAAAGCCAATACTGCCAACAGTATTAATAATATATTCGTAGAGACCTCGCTAAAATAACTGATAAAAGTTCAAGTTAATTCTGAGTTATTCCAAAGCAGCTAAAAGTTATCTCATAGTAAGTTCATCAGTCCTAGCAATCTTGAATTTATTCCAGAAACCAGAGTATGATATGATGAGTAGAGTTCAAATTGTATCAGAATTTCCTCCAAATCTAGAATATCTGTGTAAATTAATAAATTATTAATACATATTTAGTAAACATCCTGTATATTAAAAAAAACTTGTCTATTAAAAAACATTTTAATCATAAACCATCACTCAAATATATCAATTTAGGTTATAAAATTTTTTTTACAATATTTTTTTTTAAGATGTGTCCACAAATATTTCTTTGTAAACTTATGTGTATATGTTTATCAACAATTCTCCTTTTCATAGGCGGTTTACTAGCGATATACTTTCAGATATCATCAGTATGTGTGGCAATGTTAGTAGTTTTGGTCTCGTTCGTTTTGTATCATCTCTACAAATGTTTGAAGAATAAGCCGGATAAACCGCGACCTGATATCGAATGCGGTTCGAAATCGAATTCGACTCAAAGTGTTAAAACACAAGATACGCCGAAATCAAGGATAACTAAAGACGGCGTTAGCGACCCGAATAAAACGGTTTATTTGGCAACGGAAACGTCGTCTAGAGCTAAATCGGGGGAACGAACGGATACGTTTTCTTCGGATTATTCGAAAGCGTCCAAGATGTCTAAGGAAACTTATCGGTTATCGAATTCGACGGATTCAAATGAGTCGAAGAATACTAGGAGTTCTAGTAAATCGAAATCGCAGAGTACGCAGGGTAGTTCGACCGAAAAAAGTTCAAGGGATTCTTCGATTAAAGCTCGATCATCTGCTAGTACCTTAACAAGAGATAAATGAAAATAAAAAAATTAAATGATGAAGAAATGAGATAAAATGGCTGTTTTATAATTTTAGGATATACTTACTTTATATTAATTTTTTTAGAATATATTATTTTTAAAAATTGAATTAAGTGTACAAATATTTTTTATTTTTTTAACTGTGGGAACCGTTTAAATACATTTATTTATTTCAAAATTAATAATAAATAGTGAGCCCTATTATAAAGTTTAGAATTATATAAAATCTAGATAAATCTAAAAGGAGTACAAACATTTTTCTAAAGGAGTTTTTTAATCAATACATTTACTCCCGTGTAAGTAGATTTGCAACTTCTCTTACTGAAGCCATATTTGCGTACATGTAGGCTTTCGTTTCCCATAACATTTTACATAATCTTTCGTCGGATTTTTCATCCATGGCGACGTCCTCAGACAATTGCGGGCTAAACCTGAAGTAGGGGATTCCCAAAGAAGAGCACCAAGCTCTTGCTCTATCCACAACTCTTCCGTCAGTCGCAGTAGCCTAAATTTTGTATTGTATTATATTGATAAAAATTTGTTTATTTTTATTACCTGATCAACGAGCAAAGATGCTAACGCTGGCAAACCAAAAACCAATTTAGCTCCTTCCCAAATATTTTCAGGTAACATTCTAGAAACGTTTGATTCCGTAACCGGAATAAGACCCGTCCCTAAACTAACAACGATATGTACGGGACATTCTTCGCTTGTACGATGTTTCGCCCTTAACGCCAAGTTGTATTCGTGAATTTCCGTTAGGGCGTCCAACGTTGGATTATTCGCGATTAAACCACCATCTAGGAATCTATCAAAAGCTCTGTGAACAATAATTATTTAATTTTTATTCATCTCGGTTGACATAAAAATTCTAAAACACATTTTTAATAAGGACATGAAGTTTGACATGGTTAACAAATTTAAGGGGAAATAAAATTAAATTAATTTGAAATCTATAATGATATATTCTTTACCACGAGAAACGTAAATGACTCATCGATTTCGAAATATGATGAACAACTTGAGGGTGATATAATGTTAATCACTGAGCCTCGGCCGTAAGCCTTTAAACAGTGAGTCTCAATCGCAAGCAACTTCGGCTTAATTAATGAGAAGATATAATGACCAATTTCATGTTGATACTGTATAATTGATAAATGAAACACAACCAGAAGGAAGGATACCTTTACACGTTAAAGACCTTTACACGTCTTTAATGTGTTACATACACGTTTATATTAATTCCAATTAATATTCAGTATAATTAAGCAACGTCCGTAAGCAACCTCTACAAATTCACCTGATAAAGCCGAGGTCACCTGTGGCTGAGGCTATCCAATTAATATTGTTCAACCCAAGAATAATCATCATAGTGAATTATGTGGTATAGATCTTGTGTGGAATAATAATACGCGAATGGTATATATATGTCTGTACAGATCAACTGAAGGTGATCATGAAACTATATATACCAACTCTTAAACATGACCCTATACTCATCTGTAACATTCCGGTTAAGCCTAACCTTGAGTCCTAAGTTGAGGTTCGTGGTACAATAAACTCATTAAGGAAAGGCCCTGCAAGGGATTGCTTTGGATTCTCTGTCAGCTTTAAGCTTAAAGAGAACTATCAACCTATATTGTTTGATAAAGGACTCCATTGTTGACTTCGGTCAGTTCCTTTTCGATAGTTGTAGATATAAGATATTTCATGATCTTGTTCGAGTTTTTAATTTTTAACATAAATTTTTAACGTGTAAGTTTATCGTAACAATTTTCTTGTAAATTTAACAATGCTGAGAGAAATTCAAAAGTGGAAAATCTTAACATCCGAAATTATTATACCACGCAGCCGCTATTAATTGACGCAACAACCTGATGACGGAAATTTTTTTCCGAAACCGGTAGTTGAGAACCAATAAATTTCATTCTTCGGAATTTTAATTTTTTTTATATTTAACATCAACCTATATGACTCTCCATTAACTAAACTTATAAATTGTTCTTGAAGGGACTTGCTAAAGTATGCATTGGTACTTCCAGTTCTCAAAAATGGTAGTAAAGAGGATATCAAAAACTACCCCATAAGCATCTTGCCGGTGTTCTCGAAAGTATATGAAAAGATTATCTATAATAGGATTGCAGAATACCTGGAGGGTCACAATGTTTTTTGGGGCCAATTCGGATTTCGTAGGGGGCGTTGTACTGAGAATGCGGTGGTTGAGTTGGTTAACTTCTGTCATAATGCTTTTGAGGGTGGCGATTATTGTGTCTTATTGTTTCTGGACATGTCGCGCGCTTTCGACTGTGTGTCTCATCGTATTCTTTTGCAGAAATTAGAAACTAAATATAATATAGATCATATAACTATAAATTTGCTACACTCATATCTGTTGCGTAAAAGTAGGTGAACTAACATCTAGCTCTGTGAGGGTAACTAGGGGAGTGCCACAGGGTTCGATACTTGGCCCGCTTTTATTTTAACGATTTTCCCTATTACGTAAGTAAAGACATAACTGGCTTCTTAACTGTTGCTTCGGAGATCTAACTACGATGACACATTGAAACTTTCAACAAAGGCGCTGTCGAGGGCGCGTGATTGGTGTGTAGCCAATGAGCTGTGTCTGAATAACGATAAAACTGTCCAACTTTCCTTGGGTTTGCGTAGGCTTGTGATTCGCAATCCTAACGTGGTAAAATTTTTAGGAACATATATCACCGCCCCTTCATTGCGCTTTGCCAATAATTTAAATTGTATGAAATCTAAAATAAGTAAAAATATTTATTTACTGCGTAGACTTGCTGCTGGTGTTTCGCCAAGTGTGGCGAAAAACGCTTACTATGCATTTCTTCACTCATTACTTAGCTATTCAATACAACGTAGGGCTGTGCGTGTTCTTGCTGGTATGGACGATTGCCACTCTGCTTTTGTTCGACTGTCTATTCTCACTGTGCCATCGCTATACCTATATATTGCGTTGTATTATGTACATTATGGAGAACCGTAATTTGGTAAGAGAACATTCTAATATTCATTCTCACAATACACAAGGGAGAGAAAATCTTTGCCCAGACTTTTGCACATTAAAAAATGCGTTTCCAAAACACAAGACTTTTATATTGTAATGTTGACAATATGTAAATTTTGAGTATTTCTGTAGTTTTAATTAGTATATATAATATGTAATATGTGTTTTGACAGGTGTAAGAATGCATGCACTTTTTTGCATAAATAAAGATATATTATAATATGATGATCAGTTTCAGGTTGATACGATATTAATCACTGAGTCTCGGCTAATTAGTGAAAAGATCAAAAATTGCAGTTGATAATACCGAGGTTATACAATTAATATTGTTCAACCCAAAAGTAATCATCATATTAGAACGCCTTGGCAGCAAGCAACCTCGACTAAATTTAGGAAGGAGGTTTTATGACATAGCCTGATTATGCAGATGTCGTTTGCTCCACAATATGATGACCAGTTTCAGGTTGATACGATATTAATCACTGAGTCTCGGCTAATTAGTGAAAAGATCAAAAATTGCAGTTGATAATACCGAGGTTATACAATTAATATTGTTCAACCCAAAAGTAATCATCATATTAGAACGCCTTGGCAGCAAGCAACCTCGACTAAATTTAGGAAGGAGGTTTTATGACATAGCCTGATTATGCAGATGTCGTTTGCTCCACAATATGATGACCAGTTTCAGGTTGATACGATATTAATCACTGAGTCTCGGCTAATTAGTGAAAAGATCAAAAATTGCAGTTGATAATACCGAGGTTATACAATTAATATTGTTCAACCCAAAAGTAATCATCATATTAGAACGCCTTGGCAGCAAGCAACCTCGACTAAATTTAGGAAGGAGGTTTTATGACATAGCCTGATTATGCAGATGTCGTTTGCTCCACAATATGATGACCAGTTTCAGGTTGATACGATATTAATCACTGAGTCTCGGCTAATTAGTGAAAAGATCAAAAATTGCAGTTGATAATACCGAGGTTATACAATTAATATTGTTCAACCCAAAAGTAATCATCATATTAGAACGCCTTGGCAGCAAGCAACCTCGACTAAATTTAGGAAGGAGGTTTTATGACATAGCCTGATTATGCAGATGTCGTTTGCTCCACAATATGATGACCAGTTTCAGGTTGATACGATATTAATCACTGAGTCTCGGCTAATTAGTGAAAAGATCAAAAATTGCAGTTGATAATACCGAGGTTATACAATTAATATTGTTCAACCCAAAAGTAATCATCATATTAGAACGCCTTGGCAGCAAGCAACCTCGACTAAATTTAGGAAGGAGGTTTTATGACATAGCCTGATTATGCCGATGTCGTTTGCTCCACAATATAACGACCAGTTTCAGGTTGATACGATAATATTAATCACTGACCCTCGGCTTAATTACTGAAAAGATCAAAAATTGCAGTTGATTATGTCGAGGCCGCTTCTGGCCGAGGCTATACAATTAATATTGTTCAAGCCAAAAGTAATCATCATGTTGGAACGTCTTGGCTGTAAACAACCTTGACTAAACTTAGGATGGAGATTTTATGACATGGCCTGATTATGTCAATGTCGTTTCCGGAAGAGGCTCCACAATACGATGACCAATTTCAAGTTGATGCGATATTAATCACTGAGTCTCGGCTAATTAGTGAAAAGATCAAAAATTGCAGTTGATAATACCGAGGTTATACAATTAATATTGTTCAACCCAAAAGTAATCATCATATTAGAACGCCTTGGCAGCAAGCAACCTCGACTAAATTTAGGAAGGAGGTTTTATGAGATAGCCTGATTATGCCGATGTCATTTGCTCCACAATATGATGACCAGTTTCAGGTTGATACGATATTAATCACTGAGTCTCGGCTAATTAGTGAAAAGATCAAAAATTGCAGTTGATAATACCGAGGTTATACAATTAATATTGTTCAACCCAAAAGTAATCATCATATTAGAACGCCTTGGCAGCAAGCAACCTTGACTAAATTTAGGAAGGAGGTTTTATGAGATAGCCTGATTATGCTGATGTCGCTTGCTCCACAATATGATGACCAGTTTCAGGTTGATACGATATTAATCACTGAGTCTCGGCGAATTAGTGAAAAGATCAAAAATTGCAGTTGATAATACCGATGCTATACAATTAACATTGTTCAACCCAAAAGTAATCATCATATTAGAACGCCTTGGCAGCAAGC